CCCCTACTCTCTCAACTGAGAACCCTGCCTCATGTTTTACGGAAAAATTGAGGCTACTGGTTGAGAACTCCCCCTTTTCCTCACCTCATTATATACCACTCAGATGCCTTCTGCCATTATCCCCTCCAGGAGCATTAATTTAGGCCAGGGATGTAAATTATTAGATTTATTTTTATAAAGTGACTGGTGTAGAATGAAGTAAAAAATAAATTCCAAAGGATTTAGGATTTGTGTGTACTAGCTCTGTAACGTTACTTAGGGGTATCAGTTTGTTTGGGGAAATAGATCACTTCCCTTCTGAGGCTGTCACCATGGAGGACAGATCTACTCTTCTTTAAAACATTGGTGGTGCAACTGTTAGAAACAGTGGTAGCCTGGACCAGCCAGGCTTAGTACCATTTTTTTTATGTTGTTATGATTCCCAAGAATAGACCAGTGATAAATACATCACATATTTCTTGTCTCACAGATGGTTCTCATAAACTATATCAAGAAAAGAATAGATAATGTACCCAAAATTTGGGATGGAAAATTTTTTTCACTAGTCTCATTTTAGAAATTGAGTTACAGGAGCAAGCAGCAAGAAAAGAAGCTTCTGGTTTCATATAGAGCCCTCTTTTTTTGTTCTGCTGTGTGTATAGAAATGCCCTTCTTTGCCAGTTAAAATTTTATAATGAATTTTTTTAAAGGAAGAAATTAAATTGTGAAGATGACAGGATCATCAGAGAGTCTATACAGAGTGTCTCGGTACCTGTTAAAACTTCAGCAGCTATTAATAGCCTCTAATCTTAATTAATGGTGGTCGAGTATGTGTTGCTTACCTGCTTAAAATTCCTAGTAGGTAGTTTCTCAAATTAAAAAAAAGGGAATTTTGTATTAAGGAGAAAAAAGTTTTTTAAAACCAAAATTTGATATAGCTCAAAATTCTAGAACTCTGCTCTCCAAGCTCAGGGTCCTGTAACTCAGTGGCTGAGTTAGGAGGTCACACGTGAGACAAAGCTAGCAGTGGCCATGCCTGTGGTTCAACACAGGGCAAGGGCAGGGGAACACACACACATGACCGCTAACACTTTGGGGTGACAGGTGAACGTAGAGTGACCTTGTCTTTAAAAGCCTAGTGACACAGTTGCTGGCCTCCTGGCTTCAGCTCCATCTTCTGGCTTGGATCCTGATGAAGGCTTCGCTGCTCTTGTCAGCAAAGGTCTGCCCCACCTTAGTCGCCTGCTGCCCAAATCGCCAACACGGCTGACTGCGCACACGCATGGGAAGATTTCGGGCGTGGTGTTTCTGAAGTTTCTCTTCATTCACATTTTGTGTTGCTTTGCTCAGCCCTCCTCTTGAACAGGCCTTTGGGCAGGGGTGACCGTGAGTGCTCCATCTTAATGTTTGCATGGCACAGTGCAAGGGAAGGAACATCAAGTTCGGCATCAGAACGTCTGAGTTCGTGGCCCGGCTCTCGCGCTGTGTCGTTAAACAGATCTCTCTAGCTCCCTGTTTGCTCCTGCTTGCCTTTGCTCTCAAAATGAGAGGGCTTTAAAGTCCCTTCTAGCTTTCTGACTCCCTAAGTGGCTTGGAAGCAGCTGGGCGGCACAGTGAGGATCTGGGGCTTACTAGCTGTGTGACCTTGGGCAAGTCAGTTTCCTTGAATGTAAAATAGGGATAATAATAGTGCTTACCTCCTAAGACCGTTATGAGGATCTGAGGAGATAGTATCAATAAAGTGCTTAGCAAAGTGCCTGGCACGTAGTTGGCACTTCATAAATGCTCATTCCTTTATCCCTTTCCTTAGCCAAAATATGGATCGTACTAAAAGTTTTCCTTAACAAAAATGAAGGTGCTATGGATCAGTGACAGGAGAAAAGAACCATTTTATCTTGAGTGGGTTGAAGTGGGCCTCTCTGCGAAATCTCTAACATGTTTATCCACCCACTGGCTTTTGAGAATGACTTCTTCCTTTTCTAGATCCTGCTATCTCTGGTCTTGAGCCCTATTCTCTAAGTCACCTCCAGCTGCCTATTGGTTATCTTGAATTGGTTTTCCCATGAACATCTTAAACTCGACATGTCGAAAACGTAACTCCTTATCTCTTTCTCCTCTCCTCTTCCTCACTTCTCTAGGGTTGTCAAGGGTACCACCATCTTCCACACTCAGGCTCACAACCTACTTATCGTGTTTGACAATCCACTCTCTCACCCCACTTATTCTATCAGTTGCCAAGTCCTATTGTTTCTCCTTTCCTAATATCTCTTACCTACACCAACTTCTCTCCTTTCATACTGCTACCACATCGATGCAGCCTTCTGGTTGGTCTCCCTGCTCCAAGTCTCTCCCTGCTCCAGTCCATCCTCTACTCAGCTGTCAAATTGATCTTCCTAAAATTCAAGTCTGACCAAGTCACCTTCCCCTCCCCTTTCCTTCAGTAAACCCCAGTAACTCCTTTTGCCTTCAGGAGCAAATGTAAAATTCTCTTTTGGAAATTTAAAACCCTTCGTAGTCTGACTCTTTTCTACCTTTCCAGTCCTTCTGAAAAACTTTGGAATCAGTTGTGTGAAATGGGAGACACTGGCACAGGCCTGCCCAAGCATGGTGCACCCACATCAAAGAAGGCGCTAGGCCCTATGAGCACAGCAGAATTGCAGTGGCTCAAAAGGAATGTGAGATACATAAAATTAGAGACATCTCCAAACCAAATATTCATATAGATTATTTGTGCCCGACCTGTGGTAGAGCTTCTGAGCATGTATTAATCTGAGCAGCCACAGTTGGACATACTGAAACTTGGCTCTAACAGAGTCAAGTCAACACCTTAACTTGTACTTTATGATCCAGTGACACCTGCATATTTGCTGTTGCTCACCCAAGACAATCCATCTACTGACTGTGGGCCCTCTCCCTCCTCATCTCCATCTCCCAGTTTTCTTGTCTTCTATCAGATCCCAGCTAAAATCTTATCTTCTGTAATGTCTTTCCCAATCTCCCTTAATACTAATGCCTTCTCTCTGAAATTATCTCTAATTTATCCTATATATGTGTATATACACACACACATAGGTGTATTTGTAGTTGGTGTATAGTTGTTTGAAAATTGTCTACTGTAGGGGCAGCTGGGTGGTGCAGTGGATGGAACAACAGCCCTGGAGTCAGAAGGACCTGACTTCAAATCTGGCCTGAGACACATAACACTTAAGTAGCTGTGTGACTCTGGGCAAATCACTTCACCCCAATTGCAAGGAAGGAAGGAAGGAAGGAAGGAAGGAAGGAAGGAAGGAAGGAAGGAAGGAAGGAAGGAAGGAAGGAAGAAAGAAAGAAAGAAAGAAAGAAAGAAAGAAAGAAAGAAAGAAAGAAAGAGAAAGAAAAGGAAGGAAGGAAGGAAGGAAGGAAGGAAGGAAGGAAGAAAGAAGAAAGAAGAGAAAGAAAGAAAGAAAGAAAGAGAAAGAAAGAAAGAAAGAAAGAAAGAAAGAAAGAAAGAAAGAAAGAAAGAAAATTGTTTACCCTATTAGACTGTGAGTTTGTTGAGAGCAGGGGCTATTGTTTGCATCTCTTTGTATACCCAGCAGTATAGCGCAGTGCCTGGAATTTAGTATTCGTTTATTTAATAAAGGTCTACTGACTTGGTTTCTTCTTAAATTCCCATTTCTTCTCTTCCCCATGGCACCTTGCTGAGTTCCATCCTCATGCCAATATATTTCTAATGATTGTTATTATAGTATTTTAGTAGATAGAAATCAAATGTTCTTCATTTGTTTCATGATGTCTCACATTTTAAAGTTTTACCTAATTCAGCTCTATCTATCCATTATCTTCTCTAATGCTTAGCCAGACTTATCTCTTAATTTCTCCTTTCACATTAGTCCCTGAAGCCCAATCGTTTTGTCTGCCATATATGACAACTCACATAGACAGGGTGAATATTAACCCTTAGCCAGTGAGCTTACATAGCTGTCTTCTTCATTTTCATTTTTTAAAAAATGCATCTTTTTTGAGAAACAGATACAAAAGCCTTTCTTATATCTTTAGTATTTATCTATTGGATAATTTTTGAAATCTTCAGATAAATGAATGAAAAGGCATTAATTATTTACTATATGCTAGGCACTGTGCTAAATAGGTAAAAGTATAGAAGGCAAGACAGTCCTGCCTTCAAGAAGCTTACCTTCTAATAGGAAAAGACAGCACATATGTGGTGGCCAGGGAGTCATAGGACAATGATTGATACTTCCTTTCCAGAAGTGATAGTATGGATTTGATTATTGTCCACAATGTAAGAAGATAAAAATGTTGTTTTCGGGGTGGGCAGGGGCGGGGCAGGGGGAGGGGGATGATGGAGGGTTACAAACATGACGGCATGGCAGAAATTTGGCTGGTGGGTCTGAGGCCTGCTAATTATGGTCAACTCTTGCCAATGAGGAGCCCGAAAAAAAAATGAATCAGAGGACCTGTTTTGAGGCAGAGGGTGTAGCACAGCATGTCAGGAAAATGGCCAGAGACCCAGATCAGACATTGTCCTGAAGAAGCATGAGTTGAATAGTGAGAATCATAGTCACAACATGATAGTGGTTTAAGTTTTATAAAGTGCTTTACATTATTGTTGTTGATCTTTGCAACAACCCTGTAACTGAAATACTGCAGGTATTACTCGATTTTACAGATGAGGAAACTGAAACTTGAAGAGGTTGTAATTGTCCATGGTCACATAGCTAGTATGTGTTGGGGGTGGGATTTGAACTAAAGTCTTCCGAATTCCAAGTCTTCCAAATTCCACTATTCCATAGTGCCTCTTGAAGGTAGATCAAATATAATTTAATCCTACCTTTTATACATGGGGCTCAGACTGGCCCGGTTAGTTCTACCCAAGGGGTATACAACTGGGTAATACCAAATCTAGGCTCAGAACAGAGTTCTTCCTTCTAATCTAGTGCTTTTTCTCTTTTTTCACAGGAATGCTGGTAATATATATTGCATCTTAAGATAATTGTATATTTATGATTTTGACACTTTAGGTACGAAGCACCACAGGTTGCCTTACGTTGTGGAATTATGCTGAGAGAATGTATCCGATATGAGCCACTTGCCAAAATCATCCTGTTTTCCAGTCAGTTCAGAGAATTTTTCAAGTATGTGGAATTGTCCACGTTTGACATTGCTTCAGATGCCTTTGCTACGTTTAAGGTAAATAACTTTGCATCTATCTGCCTGACATGGTTACCTCTGGCCGTAAGAGCTAATGCTGGGAACCCAAGTTTCAGTTTTCCTAGAGAACTTCATACATAGGGGGAAAAACCTATTCCTTATGCATAGATTATACTTCTGATCCTAGCTGACCATTTCACAAATGTATGTTACAGGATAGTATTTTCCGGACTTTCGTCTGTGGACCAGTCCTGGTCTGTGGCACATTTTTACTGGTTCTCAAAACTGGTTTTCATCTCATTTTACCTGTTCTAGGATTTCCCCTTCTCCATGGCTTCCAGTTCCCACCCTGCTTGTAGTAAACAAACAATGTCTATAGAGCTGAGTAGTAGTCATGACCAGGGTTTAACTACTTCAAAAAATCAATCGTTCAGTTGCTTTGTGCCCTAAACTATGGCCTGTAATTTTTAAATTTTGTCAGGGGTGAACATGGCAGGTTAGCATTGTTCTATAGAGGCTATTTTAAATCTTGGAAACACTTATTAGAGAAGCTCCATGGCTCCAGAAGCACTGAAAGAGCACATGAATAGTTAAAAAAAAATGTGAGAGGAGGGAAAAAGGAGAGCAGAAAGGGATTTAGAAAGAAAAACAGAAGAGCCCTGAGTAGAGGGCAGGGCAGAGGAGGACTAGGAGCAGGCAAAGACGTGCACTAACTAGAGAGAGGAAAAGGGGGGTGAACTGGAGGAAGTAAAGGCACTTTAGTTATAGAAGGAGATAGTGTGAGAAAGCATGGGGTAGAAGAGAGATGCAGGAAGAACAAGAATGCTAATCATGCATTATCTCATTAGATCCTCACAATGACCCTTTGTGAGGAGGCAATACAAGTGGTATTATACAAGTGAGGCAAAGGAAGGTCGGAAAGGTTAAGTCACTTGTCCAAGGTCACTTTCTAGTAAGAGACAGAGCTGGCAAGGCAGGGGAGCAGGCAGATTTGGAGCGGGGGGAAAGAAGGGAAGAAAAGGGAATTTGTAAGGGCTAAGAGAGAGTTGGAGATTAGAGAAGAAAGACTGATCAGATGATGGAGCAAACAAAGAAGGGCACACAAAAAGAAGGAGGCAGTTAGAGGAGAGAGAAGAAAGAGAATACCAAGAGGGAAAGATGAGAGACAGCTGGGAACATATACTTAAACATAGGGGGAGGACATATGTGTGTGTGTGTGTGTGTGTGTGTGTGTGTGTGTGTATACATATATATATACACACACATATATATACATATATGTGCATATTCATATATACATATACATATATGCCATATACATACACATGCACATAAAACACACACACACACAGAGATATATGTAGATAGGTAGCTAGATATGCAGCATCCTGATTTCAAAAAGAACAAAAATAGTTGGGATGGCTAGGTGTTTGAGTACAGGCAGGGAACTTTCTTTTCTAACCCTGTATTTCAGCTTGCAAGCCTATTTTTATAAGATTATAAATAGTGAAAGTACCCAGAGGAACTGATTTTGGGCCTTTGGTGTTATAAAATTCTGTCAATTGTTCTCCCACTATTTTCCATTGTTCTAAATCTAAGCTCCCTTCTCTGGGAAGCCATGGAGATGTTATATCAATAATATCTAGAAACTCTCTTATTTTCTTAGGAGTTACCGAGCACCCCTGTTCCTTAATCACTTTATATATTACTCTAACATTCTGTTCCTTATCTGAGAGTTTGCCTAGATTTTGCCCCATGGTAAGAAATCCTCTTACCTCTCCATAGTCTTCTGCCACGGGATACGATTCGGAGACCTCTCACAAGGAGGCTGCCTGGCTTCCCAAAGACCTCGGTGTCCTGACCGTGGGGTGACTTCTCCGCCTTTTCTCCGGCTTTTCTCCAGCCCGGCCCTTCGCTTTTCAGGCTAAAGGGGGTCCCACATTGTGGATCGTTGGTTGTTTTCTTGGTTTCCTTCGCTGCCTGCCCTTCAGTCTTCAGACTACCAAAGGGGGCCCCACGTTTGGGCGCCAGTTTGTTATAGGACTAGCTCAGCTCACCACAAGAGCAAAGATCCTATACTAACTCTGAAGTATGGATAAGGCCTGCTTAACCTTCTATCGTGAATGCTCATTGATGAGGCGGGAGACAAGATGGAAGCAACTCCGTTTAATTTTAACAAAGCATTCACTTAAGTAGTAAAGTAGCAGGAACTTCTTCCCAAGTCACGATGGATGACTTAGAGCTCATGCTGTGCTAAGGACAGTGCATGCACATCCTGTGTACTTATCTGACTCCAATCCCAGATAAACTGCTAATGACCATACAGTAACTAGGGGAGTTAAAGATTGTTAAAGATCCATAGAATGGAACACCAAACCAGGTGACCTTTGCTCATAGATCAGTCACCTGAGAGGGGCCTTACCCCATCAGTGAGACCTCATGAACAGCCTGTGGCCCTCAACATCCTTACAGATCCCCAACAGCTAGGGACCAGTCTTAAGGAAATTAACACTGTAAGGCTTCAGTGGCGTAAAATTTTGGGTCTGAAGTTTAATATGATAGATGATTCCATTTCTTTAATGCAAAAGTCCTGTTGCCAAAAGAGATAGGGAAGCAATCTCCTAAATAGAAATCGGGGGGGGGGGTTCCTATCAGATGGTACATTGCTGTCATGGAAATGGCTATTTTTTTTACCTCAAAAGGCTAATTGTAAGGAAGAATTTGTGAGTAATTAGAGCCATAGAACTAGAAGCAGAAAAGTAAATGATTGATAAGGTATAGTTAATAAACATGATTTAACTTTCATGTAAGTTTTAAAATATTTCATGGGTTAAAATATTCTTCATTAGTATCTTTGCTGTCCTATTTTTAGCCAGATTGAATTTTTAAAGCAGCTCAGCTTTATTATTGAGTAACAAAAGAAGCTTATTTGATTAGATTTGCATTCCAGCCTTGGTATTTCCAGTTACTTTCTATAGTACTAGACTTAAGATCATAGGATTTTAGAGTTCAAGGGGATCATTTAGGCCAACCTCCTGATTTTACGGGCGAGGACATTTGGTCTAGAGAGGAAAAATAGATTTTATACAGATTGTAAATGAACAGAGCCTGGCTTAAAATCCAATCTTCTGGCTCCAAATCCAAAGCCCTTTCTACTACTCCATGCTGCTAACTTGTCCCAGTAGACTGGCATCCTATTATTATATTTTACTGACATGCACTTGGATTTAATTTAATCTGGTATATTATATACAGTATACTAAATGGCTATAGCCAGTACTGACTTGCTACATTTCTCTTGAACAATCAGTTAGTCCTTTTATAGCTTACCCTCCGCTGGAAGTTGGAAAAAGTAAACCAGAGCTGGGTGTATCAAAAGCCTGACAGAACAAAGAAGAGAAGGTACATAGAACTTGTGAATGTCACCCAGAGTGGGAGTTACCACCACACACTTAACAAGACAGAAATACCCATGAGCAACTGAATCAAATTAATTGCAAAATCTAGAGTTTTTTACCCTAAAATTAACATTTGGACGTGATAAATGTTTACCATTCTGGTATAAAATCATGAACTACAAGATCATGTATATAAGCATTCATAGACACATAAAATATCATTAGAATTTTAAAATGATGATATGGTGAGTCTTTCCCTATCAGTCAGTCAGTCTGTCAACAAGGATTTATGGAGCACCTAGTGTGTACCAGGCATTCCTTCCTCAGAGACAGGAGGGAAGGAATATATATGGTAAATGAATGGCAGTACCAAGACATGGCAAAAAAACCCTTTCTGTTCCATGCTCTGCTTTAGTAGATAATTATTCTTTGACCTGCAGTGGCTGTGTTAATTTCCAGTCTCCCTTTCAGCCTTTATCTCTTTTAGACTCAAGATTTGAAGTTATTATTACGATTGGATGCTGGCTGCAAGTTATAATGTGGTGAGGTGCTTATCCCCAGCCCACAAGCAACTGGAAAGAATTTCTTTCTGTGCCTGGGAATCTGGAGTTGTCTCCTCAGTGAATCCCCCAGAACAGACATCGTCTTGAAACGACCTTATTTCTTTAGAGATCCCTCAAAACAGATACTAGTTCGTGCTGGAACTGAAACCCTTTGGGGTACGACGAAGTCCCCCATTGAAAGCTTTGCCTCCAAAGCATTACTGAGAACCTCACAAGGAAAATTAGTAGGTCTTTGGATGTGCCGCGTACATAGCAGTGCAATAACAAGTATCAGTTAAATAAGAGCCCAACATGTCTTCATTTTTAACTTGGAATGAAAGTTCAGAATACTGTAACTAAAATATTGCTAAAATATTAAACTCATGGGTTTTGACACTGGCTCACTTTTTCCCATGTCCCCAAGAAAAGTTTTTAATTAGACATTTATTAAGGTCTAAGGCTATTTAGAATAAGAAGGCTTTGGAATTTTTGCTGGTTATAAGATGTATGCTTTTTAATTAAATTCTGCAAGGTACGCAGGACAGGGTATTTAACTAATGAGTTCATTGAGAGGATTAGGGTAGACTAGAATTATTAAAAGATTTGGTTTAAATTAGGATACAGCTGAGGTATGGGTAGAGAACAGGAAAAATTCTCTTTCATTCCATTATATGGTATTCTGTAAGTTATTCCAATAATAACATAGAACTATATACACAGAACAGTTTGTACTAAGAACTCTCATAAAACTACTTAGCTTTAAATGGTCACAGTAATTTTATTTTTAAAATACTCTTATTTCCATACATCCTTATGCTATAGTGATTCTTCCATTTTAAGTATAATTGATCTTTCCTAAAAATAATTTTAAAAATCAGGAAACTGCCTGGCGGAAAGCATTTTTTAATAGCACAAAACAGTCTTATTTCTCTATGTTTACCTCTGCCTGACATTTTAGTATTGCCTATGTAAAAATCTTCATTTCTTCCATCCATTCCGTGCTCTTTCTTCTTTCTACCACCATCGGGTACAACCTTTCTTACAACTCACCTGCACTCCTGTACCTGCTACACAGCAGTAGCTTCTGTGGTAGAGAAGAAATAGCATTATTTTAGGGGTCCTAGGTCTCCACCCTACCTTTACAACTTTTTAGCTTTGTGACCTTGGGCAATTCACTTCCCCTTTTGGGGTCTTAGTGCCCTCAGCTGGGGGTCCTGGACTTGAAGATCCCTGCCAGCTCTAAATCCCATGAGATTGCACATATCCTCTTCATAGTTTTTCCTCTCTCCACACTACTGCTCAATCCTTCCTTCCTGTCATTACTAGACTTCTTCCTTATTTATTGATTTGTTGATATTACTTATTTGCTCAAATAATTATAATGAATCTATTGATTATCGAGTCAAATTCCATTAAACTAGACTATTCTCCATCCCCTAAGCACCCCTTACAGTTTTCCATCTCCATTCCTTTTTTTACATTCCCTTTATCTGAAATGTCCTTCACCCTGAATTAGCCTTTTAACTTTCTGCCCATCGTTTAAGGCCCAACTCAAATACTACTTCCTTTTTGCTGCCACCCAAGCACCTCTGCAGTCAGCCTTGTCTCCCTTCCCTACCCCTACACACATTTAACTTATTCTCTTCAGTTTGCATATATCTCTAATACATTATAGGCTTTCATGAATGTCTCATCTAAATTTCTTATCTCCCCCAGGGCATAGTATAGTGATTTATGCAATCTGTATACCTTATAAATGTTTATTGAATTGAGTGGGATTGGAGAAGTCATGTGTTGTAATCATATGTTAAGGATAGGGACGAAATTAGGGATTTTATTGGGACAGACAACTCTTGTGTGAGGAAATCCCCTTGACCGGCTCATCTTATGCCTTCTCCGCAGTTTATAACCTTAGTGTTGCTAAGCTCACTTGGATGGGTAACCCCTAGTAGGCATCAGATTTGAACTTGAGTTCAGTTCTTCTGGTTTTGAAGCCAGCTGTCTATCTGTGCTACTATGCTATACTACCTCCTGTAGACAGAAAACAGTGCTATGATTTGGAAAAATGTTATTTTCTCTAGTTTACTTTTGATTTGTGTTTAGGTTGGTGATTTTACCAATGAATACTTTGTCTTATTAATATAACACTAGTGTAATTTTAAAACCCTAGACCTTTCTAACTTTGAAATTTTTTATTAATTTCCTGCAGACTACATTAAATGTTATAGTTTACTCCATGAAATTGGATGGTAGCATAAAAGAGTTTAAAATATTCTGCAGTTTTTAAAGTTGCTAATTAATGAGATGATTTGGGTCTGGGAAGGATAAAGAATGCTTATAGAATATACTAAATACAATAATTTTTTTCCTGCACATTCCCTTTCTAGGACTTATTAACAAGACACAAAGTGTTGGTGGCAGAGTTCTTAGAACAAAATTACGACACTGTAAGTATAGATTGCTTTTAAATCTTTGAAATTTATCTTATATGTATTTTAGTAATGAAAGTGCGTTTTCTCTTCTTAGTAGACTCCCAAGACCCAAGACCCGGCAGCTACTACTATAGCCTTAGCCCTGACTTTTTAACCACCATAATGACTAGGTCCTGGCCGAATATCCAACTTGTACCCCAAACTTTTTAAATCTCATCATCTTAAAGGCAAGTTCAGAAGAAGCTTTAGAAACTGAGAATATGGAAAATCACAGCCTCTTTGGGGTATAGTGGGATAGATAGTAGATCTGGAGTCAGAACACCTTGGTTCAGTTTCTGGCTCTGCTCTTTATCATCTGTGTGACACCTTCTCTGGGTCCCAGTTTTCTTATATGTAAGATGAAGGGGTTGAACTAGGTGGTCTCTGAGGTCCAAGTCTCTGCTCCCATGCTTCTGTCCATACTTTAATAGCAGCGATTTTTTTTTCAGTGCTTCAGGGATGTGGACAGGTAGATTGCTGTGGATATTACTTCTACCAATGCAGAGGGCAATCCTTCTGAAACTTAGTAAATTGTTGTTGAAGGTTTCTTTTGGTTGAAAAGTTCATCACCCTGTAGCCAATCTGGTGATGAGCTTCTCTGAACTTGGCTTGACTAGCCTTGGACGATAGGTATATAATCTATTTCTGGACCCAGACTTAAAACTTTTCCAGCTTGGTAAAACTTGCCAGGGTTTGTGCTTCTCTTGAATAGCCTTTGAGAATCCAGGATCACCTCCACAGTTCTTTGGGGCCTAAGAGTAAGATTTCAGGGGAGGACAAGGCTATCTATCTTACACAAAACTTCTGGTCCTCCTTTGAGCTTAAGCTGCATCCATAAAGGGTGGTTTTTGGAAGAGTTCTCCATTTGTTAAAAAATTGCATCTCCCTGTCTTACCCAGGCAGCGAGCATTCTGGCCACTCACGGGCCTGATCACTGTAGAAGCTTTAATCTTCTCTGTCTTTCCTAACTAAGCTTGTTCAGCCCTTGTTAGTCAGCTTTGTGGAACCCCACTTCCAGAGGGGCAGGACTTAGTGTAGACACCCAACCAGCTTTAGTCCTCCTGCAGCTTAGAATTTCTAAATTTAGCAGTTCACCAGCCTTGGCCTCTCAGTAACAGGGATTACAGGTGTGGGCCACCATGCCTAGCCATTCTCCATCCTTTTTAAATCCATTTTATTTGACTGACAGTTATTTAAAAGTATCAATAAAACCACTCTGAATTTCCATCTTTCAAATGAAGAGCCCCTGCAGAAAGATTTTTCTAGTTCCTCAGATTATATATAAACTAAAGCTCTAACAATTCAATTCAGTAAACAGTTATTAAATACCTACTATGTGTCGGGCACTTGCTAAACTCTGGGGATATGAATAAGAAAAAGTAAGACAGTCTTGCCCACCAGGAGTAATGAGGAAAGGAAGGGGAGGGGACCACCAAAGGGCAGGTATCCTGAGAGGGGGCATGATGTATTGTGGAATTGAAAATAAGCATATCTGATGAAAAATGAAGAGTTACCCAGAAGATTTTAAAGGGGGGAAAGGGGAGAGAAGCTCAAAAAATATATAAACTTTGTTAAAAGAAATTCATCTATAGGCAGCATTGGTCTTCTTGTATAAAGGCAGCAATATAATCTTATAAACTGATAAAGTTTTGTAAATCTGATTTCTAAACCAGGGGCACCATAAACATCATGCCTTTTGTTAAAAAAAAAAGCTATTATCCATTTTTTTAAGAATAAGAGGCATGATTTTGGGAATTGTCTATGCCTGGTAAGAATCTATTGTGTTAATAGAAGTATTGTGTAACTGTTAGGTGTCTTCATTATTTGCTCAAATGAATGTTCTTTAGTAATTACAGGAATTACATGTATTCACAGAGAAAAACTTAACTTTCATCATAGCTCGATGACCACATCACATTTTTCCAAGAGTGATTACTTAATATAGCCTAATTCTGTGTGTATTTTTAAAATTTTAAATAATACTAATTGACATATTTTATTTTGTCACAACAAAGACTATTCAACAGGCGTTTATTTATTAAGCACCATACTATGTAACAAACACTCAAATCCTCCCACAAGACGTTCCAGGGAAAACAGCAAAGCAAAGCCCGAGTCAGATTGACTGTGAATGATGGCATATGCCTCCCTGTCTAACTGTGTAGGTGATCAGTTGCTAACAGAAATGGAAGATGTGTATTTTTAATTTTGATCATTTAGTACCCACATTATCTGTCAATCTTTGGCCTGAGTTTTCTTGCCTTTTGGTGATACCTACTATAGTTACTATGTATTCTTCTCTCTGAACTTGAAATTAGTAGTGCTATAAGCTGAAAATTTAAAAGTGAGTAAAAGAATTTCTAAAATGTAAATGAATTGGGGGTGCTGTGATCTGAGCAGAAGATAAAATAGCTGTTATTTCCAGAGAGCATTTCCTTTATATCATAGACCTTCAGAGAGTAAAGGCATTGTGTATAGATCCCTAAGGTGTTTCAATCTTCCGAAAAAAATCTAATTGTGATTTAAATTTGTTAAATTCATCATTCTTTGAATTTAAAATTAAAATTAATTTCTGTTTTGTGTTTCTGTAATACATTATTTTTACCAAAAATACCATGAGACCTGACTTTTGCAAAATAGTGTGACAGATCTGTCATATTTATTTGGTCTTCCCGTTAAGTAGGCAGTTTTATCAGCTCTATCCATCTAACAGTACTATTTCTGACAAATTAAGTACTGTAACTGTATCTTAAGAAAATATAAAGAGCAAGACATGAGCCAAATCCACAGTGTTGATTATACCTATCTCTGCTATAATAATAAAATACAATCATAATTCATGTTAGGTTCAGGCTTTAAGGTTTATAAAACACTTTGCTCAGAATGTCTTTGAGGAAGACCTTAGATAAATATTTTCCATGCAGATTACTTAAGTTCAGGCACAGTATATAGTTGTCAGAGACAAGACACTTTAAATATGAAATCATTGACTTCTTTAAATTTCTTACTTAATAATTTTATAGAAGGGACAACTTCTATGCTAGAGATAGCCATATTGCTTGTGCAAGCACAAGCAATACAAGCATGTTGAATTATCCTTTAATTCACAGGTGGGTTAAAAGAAAAAAGACAATATCAGTTGGCCAGAAGCTCTGGCTGCTAATTGGTGGATGCTTTCTCTGTCTCTCTGTCTCTCTCTCTGTATGTGTGTTTATAAGCAGACATCACACACACGTGCATGTATACACATGCATATATACATATACTTATATTTGTGTATATGTATGTATGTGTGTTTATAAATATCCTGGTAATTCTATCTATATAATGGTATTAAAAAGTTTAGGGAAATTATTTATATTAAATATCTCTCCTTCCCTCCCTCTGTCCCTCTCTTGCTTTTCACTTCTTTTTATTCTTAGAGCCGTGTATTCAGTTGCACACAATAAATACTACATTTGATTATATTGCTTTATATAGCGGTTTCATTTATATAACTTATCTTCCAAACTATATTAATCTCCCCAAGCCCCAGACCATCCCAGAAGTGTGATCCCCACCAAAAAGGTGCCTGCATACTTGCCTTACCCTTTTATCCCCCTAGCCTGGCCAGCATGGCTCAGAGCCCATCCAGGCTGCGTGCCTGTTCACGTTGCCTAAATGTGATGGGAGTCTTCAATGCTCTTCCTTTACGTGAGATGGAGGATGTCCAGGCCTTATCATCTGCCTTTCCTCCATCATCAGCAAACGTTTATTAAGCACTCATTGTGTGCCAGGCACCATGCTGTGCACTGGCCATTGCAGAGGCCCTGGTACTGTGCCATCTAACCTAATGAAATAGTTTAAGGACCTCTTGGCTTTGCCATGTGTCCAGGGGTGTGTTGGTGAAAGTTTGACAGCCAGTTATCTGGGGGGAAAATGTACACATGACACGCTTCTAAATTTAATTTACATTTCTAACATTTTCTCCATCACTTTCTTAAATTTAGACAATCAATAACACAATACATTAAGCCATGATTTTGTAACATTTGTGGATTTCCAAGGTATACGTGATGACACTGAAAATTTAATAGTCAATTTAGTTCAAGCTGGCTCCAGCACATCCCTGTGTCTGCCCTTTGATGCATCCTCAGATTTCTGGCCTTTTCCATCCATCCTGTAGCTGACCTTTGTTTTTGATATTGTCCTCCACATTTGGGATATGAGCTCTTTGAGAGGAGGAACTGTCTATTTTACTGTCTGTATCCCCAGCCTCAGCACACGTACTAAGTGCCTAATAAGTGCTTTTCATTCAGTCATTCAGGGGCAGAGGCTTTATCTTTAGCTTCTCTTGTGTCCTTCACAATGTGTTGGACACTGGGACTTTAAAAAACACCATTATTGCTAGCATATAATAACTTTCTGTCATCATTCTCCCAGTTCCCAGTAAGACCTTCCGATGCTCCATAAAGCCACAAAACTTAAAATAGAGAAGGAAGAGCCACTTCCACCAAGACTACCTTAGAATGATCAAAGCTGCTATGGCAGTAGATCCAGCCTGCACTGCCTTGGCCCTCTTGGCACTCTGTTTTAAACTGTTTGGTCTCCAGAATGGCAAGGAACCATAGGTAGGAATCACAGCCTTCAGCTTCTAGTAATGGTGGAAAATCCCCAAACTATCTCAGTGGCGTTGGCAATGACCATCCCAACAGTACATTATACCTCATATCTGTTCTTAGTTGAAGATATTTTGGAATGACTGGGTGGATACTTCATAATTTGCCTACGGATTTTCAGTTCATGCTTCTTAAAAATGACTAAATAATTGTGAATTATATAGGAATGATGTAAATCATCCTATTTCCAGTTTCTTTCCAACAGTATAAAATATGAATACACTTTTTATTTCTACTGGATATTTTCTTAAATAAAGTTTTAGGATGACTAGCATTTGTTCCATTTTTCTAGCCTATTTGTAGGGCTGAAAAAGTAATTAGATCAGTGAATCATTTTGAATTACTGGAACCTCCATATTCCTCAATTTCCTTTTGTGTAAAATGAAGCTGATGAAATTCCATGTGTAAATCTCCTATTATACTTTGAGCATATGTGCCTGTGGATAATGCACATTTGAGTAGTGCCTTGAGGGTTTCAAATGTTTTAAATACATGTGTCTCATTTGAGCCTCTTAAAGATTCTTAAAGAGGGATAGATACTATTAGCCTCATTTCACAATGGTTCAGTAACTTGTCCATCATGGTCAAACAAGTACTAAATGTCAGAATTGCACTCATTCTGCTCCTTAACATTCATTTTCTTTTTTAATAGATTTTTGAAGACTATGAAAAGTTGCTTCTGTCTGAGAATTATGTGACTAAGAGACAATCTCTAAAGGTAAAACAAAATTTTTAAGTATGTCTCTATATTTTGAGGGTTTTCTGCATTATTAGTGTGTTTGGTTTGTAGTTCAACAAACAGGCCAGAGAAAATAATCTTGTTAAGTCTGTTCCTTTCATGAAAGTGTTAGGTGTTGATCTGATTAAAGACAAGCACCATCAAAGGTCTGATATACTATGTTTTTAGTTGTTAGGGTAGAATATTTCCTGAATTTGTATAAAATACCTAGCAGGTCTTGTCTTATCAGCTATAAAATTTCTAATTCATATTCATACCCCAAAATTTTGTCCAGCAAATGTCTGTGGGGTAATGGGCAAATACTTGAAAAGGTCCTTCCTGTCATCAGTGTGGTCATCACTTAGTCATTAAAAACCTAACAGTTACCAAATGAAGAAAGCTGGCAGCCAGTTTTAAACTAGCCAAGTTTAGTTTAAAACTGATTTGTAAAATCTTACAGAGAAGGATGGTGGAAGATAAACAGTATTTTGCTCCATAAGACAGAGAAGCAGTGGAGGGTAACCTAAGTTTAAAGAAAGCTGGTGAGAGACCCACATAGGCAAAATCATCCTATGAGGATGGAAGGAGAACAGAAGAGAAATAGAAAAGATCTGGTTGTATAACAACCTTCTTCACCATCAGGGAAAATGGAGCCACCATACTTAGAGGATGATCTGTCTAGAGCTGGAAGGACTCTAGGGGCCATCGAGGCCTGCCCTATCATCTTTGAGATTTGGAGATAGAGGCAAAGGGGCCTGTGAGACATCCTACAGGCAGCATGCATCAGGCAGGCTTTGCAGCCAGGTCCCCTCCAGGCAGCATTCTTAACCTACCTTCCCTTGCAGTCTAACTTCATGTGCCCAGCGGGCTTAGTGAGAACCTATAAAAGGCACTAAAGAGAACACAGATGAGGAAAGCAAACAAATTAGATGAAATTTACCTGGAGGAGATGGATATTGGAGGTGACACAATTATAAGAGCACTGAGGAGTCACTTCATGAGGTATTTGGGGGAGAAAAAGATTTGAAAAGTGTGAGGAGAAATCTTGGACTTGAAGCATCCTGAGCAAGCATGAACAACTATTGACCTATATGCTTATTATCCCAGCTATATAAACTTTTATAAGAAGCATCTACGCAGACATTAAAGACGTTAGTAAGAAGCAATAGACTTGTGTAAGCAATATTCCATGGTGAACATCTTTAATAGCATACAACTGAATGAATGATGTAGAAAATACAAAGTTCTACTGAGAGTTTTCTGATTTTTTGTGGATTGTAAAATGCCACCTTAAAGTCTGTCTTCCAATATGTTGTCTCACATATATACATCAAAGCTATGTAAGATGCTTTAAAAGATATATTAGCAGAGATGATCTTGTTGGATAATCCTCTCATCATTAATATCAAATGAGACATAGGACAGGGAGATGCATTCTCGCCAAAGGTGTTCACTATTCTTGTGGAAGAAAGCCAGTGCAGAATTGAAGACATTTCCTATAGATGGTGAAGTCCTTCAGCTGCTCCTGTTGGCAGACAATATTATGCTGGTTGCATTAAATGTTGGAACACTACAGAGCCACCTGGATGAGACTCAGGACCACTCAAAACAGTTTGGTCTGACCAAGGAAAAACAAAGTGAGTGAAGAATGCCTTTTGTCCAAATTATGACATTCATTTAAAAGGATGGCTTGTAAAACTGATCAGTGTGTGCCTGTGTATGTGAGTGCATGTGTGAACATATGTGTGTGTATCATACATTGAAAATCAACAGTGAGTTGGCCCATAATTAAATAGGAAGAAGAGAGCCCCTGTGTTGCATTTTGGAAATTGAGAAGTTCCTTCAATAACCACAAACCTCACCCCAAAAAATACTGAAGAAAATAACACGTTAAAAAATAGCCTAACCCAAATGGCAAAAGAGGTCCAAAAAGCCAATGAGGAGAAGAATGCACTAAAAAGGAAAATTGGCCAAATGGAAAAGGAAGTCCAAAAGCTTACTGAAGAAAATACTTCCTTAAAAATTAGATTACAGCAATTGGAAGATAGTGACTTTATGAGAAATCATGACACAGTAGAACAAATCCAAAAGAATGAAAAATTAGAAAACAATGTAAAATATCTCATTGGAAAAACAGCTGACCTGGAAAATAGATCCAGGAGAGAGAATTTAAAAATTATTGGACTATCTGAAAGCCATGATCAAAAAAAGAGCCTAGACATCATCTTTCAAGAAATTATCAAGGAAAACTGCCCTGATATTTTAGAACCAGAGGGCAAAATAGAAATTGAAAGAATCTACTGATCTCCTCCTGAAAGAGATCCCCAAAGGAAAACTCCTAGGAATATCGTGGCTAAATTCCAGAGTTCCCAGTCAAGGAGAAAATATTGCAAGCAGCCAGAAAGAAACAATTCAAGTATGGTGGAAACACAATCAGGATAACACAAGATTTAGCAGCTTCTACATTAAGGGACCGGAAGGCATGGAATATAATATTCTGGAGGGCAAAGGAGATAGGATCACAACCAAGAATCACCTACCCAGCAAAACTGAGTATAATCCTTCAGGGGAAAAAATGGTTATTCAGTGAAATAGAGGACTTTCAAGCATTCTTGATGAAAAGACCAGAGCTGAATAGAAAATTTGACTTTCAAATACAAGACTCGAGTGGAGCATGAAGAGGTAAACAGGAAAGAGAAATCATAAGAGACTTATTAAGGCTGAACTGTTTACATTCCTGCATGGAAAGATGATATTTATAACTCATGAGACCTTTGTCAGTATTAGGGTAGTGGGAGGGGAAAAATTATATGGATAGATAGATAGATAGATAGATAGATAGATAGATAGATAGATAGAGGGCACAGAGTGAGTTGAAGATGAAGGGGTGATATCTGGAGAATAAAATTAAGAGGTGAGAGAGGATTATACTAGGAGAAGGAGAAAGGGAGAGGTAGAATGGGGTAAATTATCTCACAAAGAAAAAACAGAAAAGAAAAGTCTCTTATGGTGGAGGGGAAATGGGGGAAGGTGAGAGGGAATGAGGGAATCTTATTCTCATAGGATTTGGCTTAAGGAGGGAATAACATGCACACACAATTGGGTATGGAAATCTGTCTTATCCTACAGGAAAATAGGGGAGGAAGGGGACAAGAGAGCAGGGGGATGATAGAGAGAAGGGCAGATTGGGAAAGGGGTAATCAGAAGGAACTACTTCTGAGGAGGGACAGGGTCAAAAGAAAGAATAGAATAAATGGAGGGGGCAGGATAGGATTAAGGGAAATAGAGTTAGTTTTTCACAACATGTCTACTATGGAAGTATTTTGCATAACTGCACATGTATGGCCTGTATTGACTTGCTTGCATTTTCAATGAGGGTGGGTAGGGTGGGAGGAAGGGAGAAAATTTGGAACCCAAGGTTTTAAAAACACATGTTTAAAAAAAAATGTTTCCACATGCAACTGGGAAATAAGAAATACAGGAAATGAGGTACAGAAATCTATCCTGCCCTATAGGAAAATAGGGAAAGGGGATAAGAGAAGGTTGGGGGCAGGGGAGATAGAAGGGAGGGCAGACTAGGGGAAGGGGTATTCAGAATGCATGCCATCTTGGGGTGGGGGGAGGAGCAAGATGGGGTGAAAATATGGAATTCAAAATCTTGTGGAAGTAAATGTTGAAAACTAAAAATAAATAAATTTACATAAAAAAAGAAAAAAGAAAAAAAATAACCACAAACCTCCCAGAAACAAAGACCCATATCTTCAATACTAATATTTTACCAGTGTTGCTACAGGGAGAATTAATGTAGCCATGGAGATAATAGCTATTTAGCAAAGGAAAAGTCATTCTCCAAACTTGCTGAATATCCAGTCAAGAAGAGATGGATAACTCGTTAGGGCTTCGTGATGATAGCTTACCTCTGTAGCACTTTCATGTAGCACTTTAAGGCTTACAGAGCCCATTCTTACCTGTGAGGCAGGTAGTATAAATATTATTATCCCCATTTCACAGATGAAGAAATTGAGGCTTCAGATTGTTAAGCAACTTGCCCATGGCTCATATAGCTGAGCAGAGGAGCAAGGATTCAAACCCATGGCACCCCTGACTCAAAGTTCAGTGCTTTTTCCACTACACCTCAACACCAAAGATTATTACAATACCCTTGTCACTCAGAAAGTATGTGTTTCTGTGTAATCCTCATCAAAGCCCAAGTCTTCTTTGGGACTCCTCAAGTATGGAGTCACCTCAGGTGCTCCTGGCTTCCAGCTTCGAGAGAAAATATCGAAGAGGTCAGCCCCACTTTAGTCTCCATCATGTCTGTTCCTTCAGCAAACAGAAGTGGGGTTGGCCTCTTCCATCTTTTTTCTTGAGCTGGAAGCCAGGACTGCTGGAAGCAACTCAGCGCTTGAATACTTGAAGCCCGATGAATTCTGAAGGGAGAATGGTGCTTCAAGCATCCAAAGGAGACTGAAGAAGGCTAGAGCTCTTCCATCCTCCCCAACATGGCTCAGCCCCTCACCCAGGACAAGCCATTCATCTCCACCAATAAGGAGAGAGTCCCATGCCAATGGGCTTTGGGACAAGGGTTAAGTATAGGTCAGGCCAGCAGTTAACACTGAAAGGACTTCCCCACTATCACGTTCTCCTGGTAGATGAGGAGACAGGGAATGGATGGACTTATCTCAGCAAACTAAGGAGACTGGGCTAAATTGGAACTGGGTAAAGTTTAAAACCTCACAGTCTAGGGGCAGCTAGGTGGTGCAGTGGATAAAGCACCAGCCCTGGAGTCAGGAGGACCTGAATTTAAATCTGGCCTCAGACACTTGACACTTACTAGCTGTGTGACCCTGGGCAAGTCACTTAATCCCATTGCCTAGCCCAACAAAAACAAAAAACAAAAAACTTCACAGTCTTACACAAACTCCTCCTGATATCTTAACTCAGATGATGGTAATTTCTTGCAGTGATTTTCATTAGCATGATGACTGCTCCCAGGGTCT